ATATATATAAACCTAGGGATTAATGTATTAATAAGAGAGTAATTTTTTTTAGAAAGTAACTCCTTTTTACTAATTATAGAATTACTTTTTTTAAGTGTTTGTTTAGAAACACTTATTTTTTTAAGTCAGTTGAAGGAGGTGACACACTCATATTTCACATAATATACACATATTTTATAAACACTGCTCAGGTTGTGGTGGATACTCTTAACTTTACATTTTGCATGCACCATTTCATTATTTTACAACCATAATTTAATTTTTAGTTTCTGCTCTTAAAGGGTTTTTGGGTTCTAATTTGCTGATCACTACTATGGTAAAGTTTCTCTCCATGTTCTGTTTTATTCTGTAATTTTTGTTGATTTTCCTTTTTGTTTGTGATCAATTTTGTCTTGTAATGTTGTTGTTACTGTGTGTGACTGTTGTTGCATTTTGTTAATCGTCACTGATCTTGTTCACTTATCTTATTGCTATTGTATATTTGTTTTTGTGGCCACTTCATTCTATAAACCACCTTTGCTTTTTGTTTTCTCATCAACCTTTTTTTTTTCAATGCAAAAACCTTGCTCATGTTTGACAATAACAAAAAAAAGAGAGGATTTTTGGAGCTTGTATGCACTATGTCCTGTTAATTTCTGTTAATTTTTGAATCCCTTCAACAATAGGATTCTGGACAGTCTCCACCGGTCTGTGTTAACCAGCACCAGTGTTAAAATCATGTACTTAAGAAAAGAAGAATTTCCATAATTTTGTAGTCATGACTTTAGTAGAAGAATTTCGCTTTTGTCAGCAGGCTTGAATCTGTAACCTGAAATTGTGCAAAATAAAAAATAAACATTAATAAATGTAATCTTTAGAAGGTACAAAATATTTTGATTAGATGAGAAATGATCACTCAATTAGTTAAATATTACACAATTTAGCTGATAAAAATGTATTTAGTTAAGAAAAATATGAAAAGGTTTATGAGTTTCATGTTTCTAGAACAACAAAAAAAAAAGTTGTCACAATTCAACTCTTATTTTGACATTTTGCTAACATCAGAGTTTCCCATCTCTTAATGGGCCGGATGCAATATTTTGCTTCATATTTAATATTGTCTTGCCTCTGTTCTACTATGCTCTTCTTTTTTCTTTTTCTTTTTTTAATCTTTTGAGAATGATTCCCTTATAAGAAATGAACTAATGGTATATATATAAAGAAAAAATTTAAGATAATAAAAAAAGAAAAAAAAATGTGATCACTAATGTAATGAGAAAGAAATATATGAGAAAAAAATGTGGTAAAATGAGAAATGGAAGATAACTAGATAGATATCTTTATGTCTTGTTTTCCATGAACTCCCTGTTAAAAGTACCTTATACATTAGCAATTCCCTTAATATGTTTCTATCACATAAATAAAAAGTAAAACCCCTAGCTAATGTTATTTTCTTACATTATAGTTAATGTATCAATCTTTTATAGCAATCACATAGATATATAAGAAAAATAAAAAAAAAATTATAATCCCTTATGTAAGAAAACTTTAAATGTACAGTAAAGTACTTGAAGTAATGTTTTGATGTCAACTTAAATTCTGTCAAATTATTGTTAGTCATTTGCCAACATGTGTTTTTGTTAAAATTTCCATTTTATCTAGAAGATTATGGTAAAACTTGAGACGCATGCCAAGTTAAATTGATTAGTATGAAACAATATTAGTTTTGACAATTTTCACCATAAATATATACATACTTATATTTTTATCTGGCCTTCAAAAATGAGTTAGAGTCCAAGAAGCACGAAGTAAATTATTGTTACAGGCAATGAAGCCACCGTTCCAAGGATAACCCTGCAAATTGGGAGAAATGTCTTTAGAGTTTTTGTTGGTTTATTATATTCACAAGGCAAAAAAAAAACTTTTTTTAATAGCTATAACTTTTAAAAAAAAAACTTTTTTTAAGAAAGGTTTAAATATATCAGTTGTGGATTTTGTTGTCTTGAAATTTTTGTTGAAATAATATTTTTTATTTTTTTAGGAGAAATATAAGGAGCGTCTAATTGAAGTCAAGCAACAAGCTACACAGGATGACACAGAGGGCTACGCTTCTACTTGTATTAGTGATAATGAAGTTTATTTGCAGGTGGTTAAAAAGAATACGAAGGGGAACTTGTATGGGCTTGTTGGATTGACCGATGATTTCATTCGCTCAACACTTCCACAATCTTCTATGTCACAACCATCACCAGTCACTGTAGGGGTGATAGAAGAAATGAAAAATAGGATAACTAAATTAAATGTTGAGCTTGCTGCAAAGGAAGCAAAGGAAAAAGCATTGGAAGAACATATACGACAACATGATGAGCAGATGCAGTATATGTAATACCTTATTTTTTTTTTTTTTAATTATTATTATTATTTATTATTAAAATGGCATTTTCGTGAATTTTATAAAGGTATAGGGGTATTATTGTAATTATTGATGGCATTTTCGCAATTTTCAAAAAGTTTGAAGGGTGTTTTGGTAACTTGGAACGGGCCGTTCCAAAAGCAAAACGGGACGTTCCAAGCTTTAAAATTTAACTAAAAATCTTGAGTGAGAACGGGCTCAGAACGGCCGTTCCGACAAGGAGAACGGGCCGTTCTGATTGTGAAACGGGCCGTTCTAAAGGGAGAACAGGCCGTTTCAAAAGGAGTACGGGCCGTTCTGCTGGAAATTGGGAACGGGCCGTTCCGTATTTGGAACGGGCCGTTCCAGTTCAAAAATTTGCGTAGCTTTTTCGAGCCCAGAACGGGCGTTCCGCTTTTTGGAACGGCCGTACCGGGTAGAGGAGCCAGAATTGCTATAAATAGGGGCTTGGGGAGTTACGAAAATTCATACCTTGGGAAGAGAAAATCCTTAGAGAAAGAGGGAGGAAAGGAAAGGAGGAGAAAGAGGAAGAGGAATCCGGTAGAGGTGGTTCTGTCAGAATAAAGAAAAGAGGAGAAAGAGGAGGAGGTTCTGCTCAAATTTCGGTTCAGGATTATCCAAGTAAGGGAAGTTAGTTTTTG